TGTGGGTCCAGGATCTCGACATCGGGTCGCGCCCGCGCGCGCGCTCGCGACCGCCGGCCAGGCGCGCCCGGCGCGGGCACGGAGGACAGGCCATTGTTCACCAGTCTTGCTCCAGCCCCTATGACTCCCATCGCTTCGTACTGCCACCGATCTCGAAGACCGCCCAGTTTCCGAGGGCGCAACCTAGGCCACTGGCACGGCCAGGGATACGCGGTCAGCTCGATGCTGGCTATTTGCGCAGTTTTGGAGGCGCCTCGGGCGGTTCCAATAATGGCGGCCATCGCTTGAGACAACTGGCTGCCCGAGTTTTTTCGACCGCGCCGTTGGAGCGCCCCGTCGCGGGATCAGTCATCATGGGCCCGCTGGTGGGAGAGCCCCACATCCTGCCGTAACCGGTGGGTCCGAGGGCTGGAGACCGCGCTGTGTTTCCAATAGGCCCACGGTGCGCACCGCAGTTACCGACGAAGTAGCCCATGGCGGTGGGGGCATTTCCCCCTTCGGCCTTTTAGGGGGCTCGCGCAGATGTGGATATCGCGCAGATGTGGAAATACCTCGGCGTGCTTAGGGCTGCTTCATTCGATTTCCCTCGCGGGCTATTCAACAGTTGAAGGTTCCTCGCGCGTCGGGTCTTTCGGCGTCGCCAAGACCTCACCATGCCCAGGCTGGACGCGCGCAGGTCGCCAGTCAGCCGATGCGTCTGCTGTGCCGTCTAGGCCCCTTTCAATTGAAAGGTTTCGTGCGTCGGGCGCGGATCAGGGAGGGAGGCGGGGCGAAAGTTATCACCGAGCAGCCGCCGGCTTCCATGGGTGCTCAGTTCAGGATTGGGCGTGTCGACTTGGCAACCAGTCTGAGCGTCCTGCAGATGCTTCTTTCCCCGCCCTCAGCGGCACTGGCTCCAGGAATTGGACGGCTCGAGGACCAGGGGCTGCACTAGACTGGAATCATGCTCCGCGGGGGAGCCAATCAATTGCCAGGAGCCAAGCAAATACCAGGGGTTGCCGATTGGAAACACCAATTAATTGCCAGGAGCATGACCTTCGGCGGCAGTGCTGCGGATAATCGGGGCGTTTCCAATCGGCGCCTGGGCGTTTCCAATCGGCGTTTCCAATCGGCAGCGATTCCTGATTTCCCGCGGTTCATGGACTGCCGTTGATCAGCCTCGGCGGCAGTCAGGGCCACGTGGGTTTGGGACGGGATGCGCCGAGCTGGCAGGCGCCTAGGCGTGGCGGGTCCTCCGTCAGCTGCAAGGTTTCAGGACCCATGTCGCGGTGGCAGGGAGGGAGGGTTCGCATGACATGTTTTTGCGTTGCTTCTGACGAGTGGATATGTAAGGATTCCGGGCTCTCCAGAAAGCAGGTCTTGCACGATCGTGCCGAGCCCTGCGGCCCAGTGCGGATACTTCAGAACTGGAGTAAAGTTGTGAATCGACATTCCTGTGGCTGCAGGCGCACGGGTTTACAATACGGAGTACCCTTGCCCATCGCCTTACTACGCCATTGATCCCATTCGAGTTGTTCCTCGTTCCCCTCCTCCCGTTTCCCCCCTGTTCCCCCAACGCCATCATGTATGTCGTGGTTGCCACCGTCGTCGGCGTCATCATCCTGGGCTACTTGGACCGTCTTGGCAGTGCTGCGTAGCATTTTTTCCGGCGGGCCGCGTTGGACGCCCAGGGCCGTTGTGCCGTTTCTGCCGGCCCCCCGAACTGGCAAGGTCAAATTCCCCACCCCGATGTAGGCGAATTACGGGTCGCACCTTCCAGCGGGCTTCCCTTAACACCTGTTCGCAGGCAGACGGGGAGGAGGAGGAGGAAGAGGAGGACGAGGAGTAGGAGTAGGAGGAGGAGTAGTAGGAGGAGGAGGAGGGGGATGATGATGATGATGATGATGATGATGATGATGATGATGATGATGATGATGATGATGATGCTGATGATGCTGATGTTGCTGATGTTGCTGATGTTGCTGATGTTGCTGATGTTGCTGATGTTGCTGATGTTGCTGATGTTGCTGATGTTGCTGATGTTGCTGATGTTGCTGATGCTGATGCTGATGCTCCTGATGATGAGGAGGAGGAGGTGGAAGAGGAGGAGTAAAAGGAAAATGAGGAAGACGAGGAAGAAGAGGAAGAGGATGACAAAGAGAAAGAAGAGGAGGAGGCGGAGGAGGAGAGAGACCAAAGTAAACCCAAGATGTACCAACGATGCCGTAACACATCCGTTTGTCCCACGTCCTCTGTTCATGAGGTCCTACAACCATCTTCTCTCACTGCACGAAGCCACCCCCTTGAGAGACAAGCGCCCCATGGACCCGCAATTCAGACGGGCGCTCGTGTTTGAATGAAGTTGCCCTCCATCCTCCGACGTGTGCGCGCACCTTCCTAACCTGCCCCCCCCCTTCTCGCGGCAAGCAGCGGGCAAAACGAGAAAGCGGCGCACCTTCCTAACCTGCCCCCCCTCTCTTCTCGCGGCAAGCTGAAACAGTGTGGGGCCATCGCTGTCAAGGAAGTGGCCGCCGACGGCCCCGCTTTGAAAAGGGACCGCCCTCCCTTCGTTCCACTGCTGCACAAGTGTTCGACCGATGGCAAACCATGTCAAGGAGGTCCTAAGCGAGCGCCCCGTGCCGAAACCTATCCGCCCTCCATCCGTGTAGCTGAGCGCGCGCGGCACAGAAGCGAGAGCCCAGTCTTGAACAGGAGCAGCTATCTACGCGGGTGAGTACTGGCATCGCAGGGAACGAGTGAGCTCGCCTCCTCCTCCTCCTCCTCCTCCTGCTTCCTCCTTCCTCCTCCTCCTCCTCCTCATCCTCATCCTCCCTCCTCCTCCTTCCTCCTCCGCCTCACCTCCCTCCCTCTCCCTCCTCCTCCTCCTCCTCCTCCTCCTCCTCCTCCTCCTCCTCCTCCTCCTCCCTCCACACGTGCAACGGTCGGAGAAGTTCCGATGCGGCATCGTGAACGGTGTGGAGGTCTCAGGCGAGCCGCCCAGGCTGCCCCGGTGACACACGTCTGGCGGGGCGAGAGGGAAGCGCTGCTCCGGAGCGAGAAGGCTGGAGGAGTGAGCCCCAGAGTTGTTCACCCCGGGACTTGGCATCGCTCGGACGCGTGCAGTTTTCCTCGGCGAGGACCATCGAGGAGCATCTTTGATCATTTGGCGAAAAAAACACGCACAAAACCGAGAAAAAAAACAGGGAATGGACGTCCGAGCGATGGCCAGTGGGAGAGTTGTCAGCCCCAGTTTTGAGCCTCAGGGAAGAGCTGCTCCTAAGGGAGCAGGCTGGAGGAGAAAGGGAAGAGCTGCTCCCAAGTGAGTAAGCCCCAGAGTTGTTAACGATGTTGTAACGCACCCTCTCGCCCCAGGTGCCCTCCCAATCGGCCCCACAGGCATGTGTTCTCATTGCGGGAAGCTCCACCCTGAGAGACGCGCGACCCAAGGGCTTGCATTCGGGGGAGAGCTCCGCTCTGACAAGGAAACGCCCTGAGGACCGTGAAGAGACAGGACCAGAAAGTGCAAAAAAGTGTTCAGCAAGAGCCCCGTTGCAGCAAGGGGGCGCCCTCCATCGATGTACCTTGTGCACACTGTTGCACGTCGGGTCGAGCAGCTGAGGAAGCCTCAAGCGAGCACCCCATTTGGGAAAGGCGCCGCCCTCTATAGTTGTGACCATGGGGCGCGTGGAAACACATTCGCACTTTTCTGAAGCGGCAGCAGCCCTGTGACAACTGCCCTCGACCCTCCATCTTTGCGACGGCTGGATTTATCTAAGACGAGCCTGGGCGGCGTTGAGGGAAACAAGTGATGAGCCAGAAAGGTCCGCCCTCAATCCTGGTGGTTGTGGGGCGCAAGCAGCGGGATCGTGCGCGGCGCTAGAGCGAAAACCACATGTTGACAACGAAACGTCATCCATCCGTGCATATGCTGGGAAGTTCAAGCACCAGGTTCGCAAAAGGTGAGGACGTTACAGGCAAACCGACCGGACCGCCCTGCCGACGCGCCTGGTGGTGTGACGAGGAGGCGCTACTCATAAAGAGAAGGGACGGGGGATGGAGACGAAGAGGAGGAGGAGGAGGAGGAGGAGGAGGAGGAGGAGGAGGAGGAGGAGGAGGAGAGGAGGAAGAGGAGGGAGGAGGAGGAGGAGGAGGAGGAGGGGGGGAGAGCGGGATGCTAGTACGCTCTGTGCGCTCGCGACATATCTGGCATCCTACCCCTTCCACCACTCCGTCTCCAATGCGTTGGATTCTTCTCTATCCGCAGGCTGGGGTACCCTAGTTGACCTTGCTCTCGCAAGTGACCCCATCGTGGATTGGCGACGGGTCCCGCTTCCATTTGGCATCGGCGCGCTGCGCTTTCAAATGAGGCGGCAGTGGCCTGCTTCGGGGGTACCGTCACGGTCCGTGGATCTGGCGCTCACGCGCCAGATCCGCAGATCCCCAATCTTTGTTAGCACGCGCCCGAGGGGAGGGGATGTGTCTTGGAGGCGGCCGGGGGAGCTGAATTGGTTGGGATCCGGAGGGGGGGATGAGGCCAAATCGGTTTCTGGACCCCTCCCAGAGCCCTTCCTGCTGGCCGCCCTTCCTGCTGGCCGCCCTTCCTGCTGGCCAGAACCAGTACTGGGCGGCCACCTCGTCGGGGGTGATGACTGGGGGCGGGGGTGATGACTGGGGGCGTGGGGGGGGAGGGGGGGGGCGAATGTCGCGCCGGGAGCCATGCCACCTCCCAGGTATCATGGCCGCCGCTTCTTCCGTCAGTGCGTCCCCTGGCCCCTCCCTCCTCTGCGCACGTGCCGCCTCCCATGGCTCTCGAGGCCTCCCCTCCTGGCCGCCCCCCTCGGGGACGCCCCCAGCCTCAGACCCCTCCTCCTCCTCCTCCTCCTCCTCCTCCTCCTCTTCCTCCTCCTCCTCCTCCTCCTCCTCCTCCTCCTCCTTCCCCAGACGGCTCCAAGACGTGCCCACGTCGCCCTCGTCGGTGGTGCTCCCCTCCTCCTGGGCGCGCCCGGCATCTCCGCCGCGAGGCGGCGCGCGCGCGGCCCCCGCGGCTGCTGGCGCCGCCAGCATCTCGGGCGCGCGGGGAGCAGCAGGGGCGGGGCTTGCCTCCGCCAGGGGGGCATGGGGAAGGAGCCCAGACCCCCTCGAGTTATGAAAAAATCACGACGGGAGGTTTTTCACCATTTTTGGGCTTTGGGGGCCCTTACCGGCCCTCGGGACCGTCAAAAAACGACTCGGTCCCAGGGAATGGGTCGAGACCTCGGGGGGTCGACGTCATGAAACATGATGGACCCACGAACCCGGAAAGGGATATAGACATGTGGAGCATGGACACGTTTTCACGATACCCAACTGGGCAACACCTCACGAAACAGCCCACGAGACACCTCACGAAACATTCCACGAGACACCTCACGAAACATTTCACGAGACACCCCGCGAAACATTCCACGAGACACCCCTCGAAACATTCCACGAGACACCCCACGAAACATTCCACGAGACACCCCACGAAACATTCCACGGGGGTGCGACTGGGTGTGGTCGTGCTGGGGTGTGGTCGTGCTGGGGTGTGGTCGTGCTGGGGTGGGGTCGTGCTGGGGCGTGGTCGTGCTGGGGCGTGGTCGTGCTGGGGTGGGGTCGTGCTGAGGTGTGGTCGTGCTGGGGTGGTCCGCACCCTGTGATTTATCGATCGGGTCGTGCTGGGGTGTGGTCGTGCTGGGGTGTGGTCGTGCTGGGGTGTGGACGTGCTGGGGTGTGGTCGTGCTGGGGTGTGGTCGTGCTGGGGCGTGGTCGTGCTGGGGTGTGGGCGTGCTGGGGTGTGGTCATGCTGAGGTGGGTCCGTGCTAGGTGGGTCGTTGCTGGGGTGTGGTCGTGCTGGGGTGTGGTCGTGCTGGGGTGTGGTCGTGCTGGGGTGTGGTCGTGCTGGGGCGTGGTCGTGCTGGGGTGGGGTCGTGCTGGGGTGGGGTCGTGCTGGGGTGTGGTCGTGCAGGGGTGGTCCGCACCCTGTGATTTATCGATCGGTCGTGCTGGGGTGTGGTCGTGCTGGTGCTGGGGTGGGTCGTGCTGGGGTGTGGGTCGTGCTGGGGTTGTGGTCCGTCTGGGGTGTGTCGTGCTGGGAGCTGGTCGTCTGGGGGTGTGGTCGTGCTGGGGTGGGGTCGTGCTGGGGTGTGGTCGTGCTGGGGTGGTCCGCACCCTGTGATTCATCGATCGGGTCGTGCTGGGGTGTGGTCGTGGTGGGGTGTGATCGTGGTGGGGTGTGGTCGTGATGGGGTGTGGTCGTGCTGGGGTGTGGTCGTGCTGGGGTGTGGTCGTGCTGGGGCGTGGTCGTGCTGGGGTGTGGTCGTGCTGGGGTGTGGTCGTGCTGAGATATGGTCGTGCTGAGGTGGCCCGCACCCTGTTATTTATCGATCGGGATTTCAAAAACAAGCGTTTCGCTCGAGACATCCTCAAATTTTAATTCGCCGGCCTCCTTCGACCTCGTTATTTATCAGGGAAAAAATTCGCCGGCCTCCCTCAAGTTGGCACCGGGGGACAGGTTTACCTTCTAAAAGAGAACCCTGGGCCCCCGCCCTTTCCGGGAAAACATGATGGACCCACGAACCCGGAAAGGGATATAGACATGTGCAGCATGGTCACGTTTTCACGATATCCAACTGGGCGACACCTCACGAAACATCCAACGAGACACCCCGCGAAACATCCCAGGAGACACCTCACGAAACAACCCACGAGACACCTCACGAAACATTCCACGAGACACCCCGTGAAACATTCCACGAGACCCCCCACGAACAGGCAACCACTCAACCAGACACCCCACGAAACATTCCACGGGGGTGCGACTGGGTGTGGTCGTGCTGGGGTGTGGTCGTGCTGGAGTATGGTCGTGTTGGGGTGTGGTCGTGCTGGGGTGTGGTCGAGCTGGGGTGTGGTCGTGCTGGGGTGTGGTCGTGCTAGGGGGGTGGTCGTGCTGGGGGGTGGTCGTGCTGGGGCGTGGTCGTGCTGGGGCGTGGTCGTGCTGGGGGGTGGTCGTGCTGGGGGGTGGTCGTGCTGTGGTGAGGTCGTGCTGGGGTGTGGTCGTGCTGGGGTGTGGTCTTGCTGGGGTGGGGTCGTGCTGGGGTGTGGTCGTGCTGGGGTGTGGTCGTGCTGGGGTGTGGTCGTGCTGTGGTGGGGTCGTGCTGGGGTGGGGTCGTGCTGGGGTGTGGTCGTGCTGGGGTGTGGTCGTGCTGGGGTGTGGTCGTGCTAGGGTGGGGTAGTGCTGGGGTGGGGTCGTGCTGGGGTGTGGTCGTGCTGGGGTGTGGTCGTGCTGGGGTGTGGTCGTGCTGGGGCGTGGTCGTGCTGGGGTGGGGTCGTGCGGGGGTGGGGTCGTGCTGGGGTGTGGTCGTGCTGGGGTGGTCCGCACCCTGTGATTTATCGATCGGGTCGTGCTGGGGTGTGGTCGTGCTGGGGTGTGGTCGTGCTGGGGAGTGGTCGTGCTGGGGTGTGGTCGTGCTGGGGGGTGGTCGTGCTGGGGGGGGGTCGTGCTGGGGGTGTGGTCGTGCTGGGGGGTGGTCGTGCTGGGGCGTGGTCGTGCTGGGGCGTGGTCGTGCTGGGGCGTGGTCGTGCTGGGGTGTGGTCGTGCTGTGGTGAGGTCGTGCTGGGGTGTGGTCGTGCTGGGGTGTGGTCTTGCAGGGGTAGGGTCGTGCTGGGGTCGGGTCGTGCTGGGGTGTGGTCGTGCTGGGGTATGGTCGTGCTGGGGTGGGGTCGTGCTGGGGTGGGGTCGTGCTGGGGTCTGGTCGTGCTGGGGTGTGGTCGTGCTGGGTATGGTCGTGCTAGGGTGGGGTCGTGCATTTCGCTCGAGACATCCTGCCAAAATTCTCCTCAAATCGTCACACCAACTAAGCCTAATACAAAGTAAAATATATGAAACGTTAGAAAAACAAAAACAAGAATAAGACGAGACAACATCGAAATCCTCGTGCGCGGGCGCATTTTTCCGCGTCGCGGTCGGCTCTGCAAAACAAGCGTTCCGCTCGAGACATCCTCGGCAAACTCTGCGGAGCAAGCGTTTCGCTCGAGACATCCTCAACACACGAAAAAGTGCCCGCACCCTGTGATTTATCGATCGGGATTTCAAAAACAAGCGTTTCGCTCGAGACATCCTCAAATTTTAATTCGCCGGCCTCCTTCGACCTCGTTATTTATCAGGGAAAAAATTCGCCGGCCTCCCTCAAGTTGGCACCGGGGGACAGGTTTACCAACTAAAAGAGAACCCTGGGCCCAGGCCCTTTCCGGGAAAATCATGACGTCGGGGATCTGGGTCAGAAGCACCCCTGCCTCTTGAAAGGCGCTGGCCTTGTCTGAGGATGTGAAGGCCGGCGCCTTCGAAGAGGCAGCCTCCTCCCAAGAAGCCTTCCCCCCCCCCCCCGTACCCCCCTACGTGCGCGCGGCCAACGGTCCGTGGGGGAGAGCGTCCAGCCAGGCATCTCAGGCTTTCAGCCACAGGGGGCGTCCAGCCAAGCAGCTCGTGCTCGCAGCCAAGCCCAGCGACCTGCACTCAAGACAGCTTCCTTCGGAGTGGGCGGAGCAAGGGGAAAGGTTAGGCAGAGCGGAGCCGGGGAGAAATGTCGGAATGGGAGGTGTAGGGGGAGGAGGGCGACGACAACATGGAAGAGGAGGATGAGGAGGACGATGAAGAGGAGGAGAAGGAGAAGGAGAAGGAGAAGGAGAAGGAGAAGGAGAAGGAGGAGGAGGAGGAGTGAAGGAGGAGGAGGGAGGAGGAGGAGGGAGGAAGGAGGAGGAGAAGGCAAGGAGAGGAAGAGGAGGAGGAGGAGTAAGGATGGGAGAGCAAGGAGGAGGAGGAGGAGGAGGAGAAGAGAGGGATTCACAACGAACGCGCACGCACCCCATCCCCTCATCAGCATTGCGAGGGGGGGTCAGGCGTGTCCTCGCGCTGCGGAGGTCTTGGCCTGCCAAGCACCTGCCTCGCCTGCACCCGAGGGGGAGCTTCCATACTCGCCTCAATCCCCGCGCAGTGCCCCTGCGAGAGGGGGGAGGTCTCGTGCGTCGCAGCCGCTGGGGTCTCAATCTTGACCCCGGTGGTGCGACTCTCGCTCCGCGACGAGGGTGGCGGGTCGTTGCGCGAATGGGCGCGCGGCGGGGGTCCTCGCGCGGGGAAGCTAGCGGCGGCGTTCTCGCCCCGCGCTGGAGGGTGGGGTCCGCCGCGAAGTTCGCACGGTGACGGCTCATGAGGTCTCAAGGCTCGTCCGGAGTATTCTGGGATCCACAAGGAAGTTTGCAGACTTGCAGTGGAAGTCCCAAGGACACTTCAGGCATGCTTCAGTGTCAGTGGGAATGGTTGCATAATCCCGGCGGATTTCCTGTGCAGATTCTGAAGGACGTCCTTCGGGTTGCTTGGCAAGCCCGTAGGATATCCGATAGATTCCCCCGGATTCCACTGGACTGTTTCAGCAATTGTTCGGGCTCCCGAAGATATCCGTCGGACCCCATAGGAATTACCCGTTGGGTGTGAAGCTTTCCGAAGCCTTTGTTTGTGCCACGCGTCCTCTCCTCTGTCGTCGTTGTCGCGTCTTTCGTCTTCTGCCTCCTCCGCGGCCTTTCCGTTTCTCTTACTCACCATACCGTCTTGCAATGTTGCATGTGTCGTTGCATGTCGTTGCGTTCTTGTCCGCGCTGCTCGTTTAGCTTGCTTGCCCCCTACTTGGGATCCCACTTCTTCGGCTCGTAATTCAGCCCGCGTGTCCCGTTTGTTCCAAGCCCGACGGTGATCCACATCGCTGGAGGAGGGGAAGAGTGAAATGGTGTGTATGTGTTTGCGTGTGTGCGAGAGAGAGAGGCGTGGTGTCTGGTATTTGTATGTGTTTGTGTGTATGGGGTTTGTATGTGTTTGTTTGTGCGTTTGCGTGTGTGTGTGTGTGTGCGTGTGTGTGTGTGTGTGTGTGTGTGTTTGCAGGTGCCTAAAGGAAACAGTAGTTCCACAGATGTGATGCTCCGGCATGTTCTGACCAGCAGAACGCACACCGAACACCCACTGGGAGAATCGGCATGCTCCGTGTAGAGTTGTACGATCTCGCATCTCCTTGTCCAAAGACAAGTGTGGTACAATTTTCGTTTTTGCCCGCCACGCTCAAGACTGCCCCCCCGTGCAAAAAGCAACTGGTGTTTTTGTACACACTTCCGCCCCCCCCCACCCCCAGTTTCAATGTTCAATGCGGTGCCGATGTTTTTTTCGAACTTCGCCGGTCGCGCGATCAACATTGAAATGGGGGGCCAGGGGGCTCACCAAATACCAGTTGCTTTTCGCACGGGGCTGTAGGAGCCGAAATCGAAGTGACAACAGGGTGGGAAAAGGAACGAGCAAGCGGAGCAAGTTGGCCGTTGGAGCCGTGCGATCACACTTGCGTTTTTGGCCGGAAGTGCATGGCAGCAGCGCTGTTGTGGGGCAAGATTTAGCGGTGCTGGTCCACCAGAGCACCCTGCCCCCCGCACTGTCTTCTGAACGAAAGTGTCGCTCGGCCTGCCACGGTTTGATCTGTCCATTCCGCACCCGTCAGTTTCTACCCCTACTTCAGTTTTGTGCGGTTCGCGAAGTCGGATGGCCCTGTTTCGTGCAGAACCAACCAATACCGACGGAACACTATGCTGGACATGCGCGGTTTTCTGGCATTCTCTATAGTATTGCAGTCTGGGCGTACTTGTGATTACTTGTGTAGCAGCGGCTGGCCCCTCCTTCGCCTTGGATTACTGGTCTCGGCTGGTCCTGATCCTCCGCGCATTGCCCCTCCTCCTCCTATTCCTCGCCTTCCTCGTCCTCATCCTCTCCCACTTCGGATTCGGCAGAGGAAGGCCGCCGAGTACCCCCCTGTCGGCTTATCCTTTCCTTAGGCTCGGGAGGGTCCAGAGAGCCCCGGATCTTGGGCGACCCTGGCGGGTTCCTGTGCTGCTCGGGGGATGCTGGAGGCGTCGTTGCCACGACCACGGCTCGCACCAGCAGGCGCTCCGCAGTCGATGCTGCTGCTGGGCAGGCAGGCGCGGCGTCCGCCCGCCTGTGTCTGGGTGGAGCTCTGGCCGGGGAGGCGCTCCTGGCAACCAAAGGGAGGCCGCGCTGCCGTTTCGTCGTGCGCGGCGTCCCCCTGGCGGTGGAGGCCCACTCCACGAGCCTGACGAGCTTTCAGACATGGCAGCGCTGATGCCCTCCCCATAGCCGTATTCACGGAATGCTGGTCTGAAGTGATCGGGCCCTCTTTTGTGATCCGTCCGCTGCCGGCTTCCAGATCCCTCTCTGGACCACCACAACCTCTTGAAGCCGGCGAGCGGCGAGCGGACAGTCATGGACGCGAGTTGCTTGGCTGGCCCCGCCCGAGATGTTCAGATCGATCGGCGAAGGTTCGAAGGAAGGACCCGTTTTACACATCCACACACATATTTGTTTCGCGTCGGCGGCTAGGCAGAGTGACTGCGCTGGCGGCAAGGCAATGGCAGGACGTACAAAAGCGAATCAAGCCGCAATGCACGGGGGGGGGAGAAGGAACGCCCGGCGGTGGCGGGAGGGAGAGGGAGCCTGGCCCGCTCGGAGCGAGCCAGGCGGCCCACACACACACACACACACACACACACACACACACACACACACACACACACACACACACACACACACACACACACACACACACACACACACACACACACACACACACACACACACGCTCGGGGCTACGGTCGGAAGCTTTGGCTTAGCGTGTCGCGCCCCCGATCTTGGCTCACCGCGCTTCGCTGCGACACGCAAGCCATTTCCCAGTTCCTCAGCGTCCACGTCCCGAGCGTTTCCCCGCCTCCCGTCCCTCGGAGCGGAGCGGCACGCCGTGAGCTCGCACCGCGCAGCGCGTCGCCAGGGCCGCCGCGCCGCCGTGACGCGCCGAGCACGCCGGGCTCAGGACCGCAAGTCGCAGGCAGCACGACCCCAGCAGCAGCTTTCGGAGGCCTGGAAATTGGCACCGACACCAAGACAGAGGGTTGCCTCCACAGGGGGAAGAGGATCCCAGATTTCCGGTGTCGGTGGTCATAGTTCGGCCACCTTCGAAGCCAGAATTTTACCACCACCACGGAGCTCGGGAGCTTCTCCCCCCGGTGGAGGCACACCGCCGAGATTGGTGTTGGTGTCAATCTCTGGGCCCGCGAAGCTCTGCTCCTCGACCTTCGCGCCCCCCCCCCCCGCGCGCGCGAGCCCGCGGCGACTGGTACATCGACTTCCTGCAGATCGAGCAGGCGGACGGCGCGGTCGACTCCTACGGGAAGGGCCACGGCGGAGAGGCGCGCCTCCCCGGGGGGGGGGGGCAGGGCGCGGGGAGCGGGGCAGCCGCTCGGGGGGCAGCCCGCGCCGCGGCCTGTGGTCGGGGGCAGGGCCCCCCCCCCGCAGGCGGCTCCGTGCGAGCCACGGGCGATGGATGCACAGTGCCGTTTGCAATGCGTGCTCCGCGTGCGGATCATGTATTGAGAATGCAGGGATTCAGTATTTAAAAGCAACGGTGAGTTCATGCGTAAATTTACGCATACATTCATCACGCATCCGATTTTTTGTTTTTTGTTTATATATATATATATATATATATATATATATATATATATATGAAAAAATCCTATGTGTTAAAAGCTGCCCTGCAGGCCCCCGAGACTGGGCGGCCCAGGGCGGCGGGGGGGCGCGCGGCCCGCCCGGGGCGTGCGACCGCCCGAGGCTCGTGAGGGAAGGACTCGGCATCGCTCGGGCGTGTGCACTTTCCTTTCGACGAGGACCATCGAGGAGCACCCTTTCGGAGGGCACCAACTATACACCAACACCGATCCTGGCCCAGGATCACCCTGGGCCCAGGATCGGTGTATATGCCTTCTCGCGCAAGGCAGGAGGGCGTATACACCGATCCTGGGCCCAGGGTGATCCTGGCCAGGATCGGTGTTGGTGTATAGTTGGTGCCTTCCTATCCTTGATCATCTGGCAAAAACCACGCGCGAAACCGAAAAAAAATGATGGACCCACGAACCCGGAAAGGGATAAAGACATGTGCAGCATGGTCACGTTTTCACGATACCCAACTGGGCGACATCTCACGAAACATCCCACGAGACACCCCGCGAAACATCCCACGAGACACCTCACGAAACATTCCACGAGACACCTCACGAAACATTCCACGAGACACCCTTTGAAACATTCCACGAGACACCCCACGAACAGGCAACCACTCAACCAGACACGCCACGAAACATTCCACGGGGGTGCGACTGGGTGTGGTCGTGCTGGGGTGTGGTCGTGCTGGGGTGTGGTCGTGCTGGGGAGTGGTCGTGCTGGGGTGTGGTCGTGCTGGGGTGTGGTCGTGCTCGTGCTGGGGGGGTGGTCGTGCTGGGGGGTGGTCGTGCTGGGGGGGTGGTCGTGCTGGGGCGTGGTCGTGCCACCCCGCGAAACATCCCACGAGACACCTCACGAAACATTCCACGAGACACCTCACGAAACATTCCACGAGACACCCTTTGAAACATTCCACGAGACACCCCACGAACAGGCAACCACTCACCAGACACGCCACGAAACATTCCACGGGGGTGCGACTGGGTGTGGTCGTGCTGGGGTGTGGTCGTGCTGGGGTGTGGTCGTGCTGGGGGGTGGTCGTGCTGGGGTGTGGTCGTGCTGGGGGGGTGGTCGTGCTGGGGGGTGGTTGTGCTGGGGCGTGGTCGTGCTGGGGCGTGGTCGTGCTGGGGCGTGGTCGTGCTGGGGTGTGGTCGTGCTGTGGTGAGGTCGTGCTGGGGTGTGGTCGTGCTGGGGTGTGGTCTTGCTAGGGTGGGGTCGTGCTGGGGTGGGGTCGTGCTGGGGTGGGGTCGTGCTGGGGTGTGGTCGTGCTGGGGTGTGGTCGTGCTGGGGTGTGGTCGTGCTAGGGGGTGGTCGTGCTGGGGGGTGGTCGTGCTGGGGAGTGGTCGTGCTGGGGGGTGGTCGTGCTGGGGGGTGGTCGTGCTGGGGGGTGGTCGTGCTGGGGCGTGGTCGTGCTGGGGCGTGGTCGTGCTGGGGCGTGGTCGTGCTGGGGTGTGGTCGTGCTGTGGTGAGGTCGTGCTGGGGTGTGGTCGTGCTGGGGTGTGGTCTTGCTGGGGTAGGGTCGTGCTGGGGTCGGGTCGTGCTGGGGTGTGGTCGTGCTGGGGTATGGTCGTGCTGGGGTGGGGTCGTGCTGGGGTGGGGTCGTGCTGGGGTCTGGTCGTGCTGGGGTGTGGTCGTGCTGGGGTATGGTCGTGCTAGGGTGGGGTCGTGCATTTCGCTCGAGACATCCTGCCAAAATTCCAGGAAATCGTACAAAAACAAACGAATTAGTCGAGACATCATCGAAATTCCTTCGCGCGGGGCGCTTTTCCGCGTCGCGGTCGGCTCTGCAAAACAAGCGTTTCGCTCGAGACATCCTCGGCAAACTCTGCGGAGCAAGCGTTTCGCTCGAGACATCCTCAACACACGAAAAAGTGGCCCGCACCCTGTGATTTATCGATCGGGATTTCAAAAACAAGCGTTTCGCTCGAGACATCCTCAAATTTTAATTCGCCGGCCTCCTTCGACCTCGTTATTTATCAGGGAAAAAATTCGCCGGCCTCCCTCAAGCAGGCACCGGGGGACAGGTTTACCTACTAAAAGAGAACCCTGGGCTCATGCCCTTTCCGGGAAAAACACAGGGAACGGACGTCCGAGCGATGGCCAGAGGACGGGGGACCCCCAAAACGGTGCAAGCGGTGCGGTGACCGCGCCGTGGGGGCGAGTCGGTGGGGATTCGGGGTGGCCGCACGGCTCTGGGACTCGAGTCGCTCTCTGGGGAATGTCTCGGGCGACGGGGGCCCCCCAGAGGGTCACCGTCGCCCGTGCGGTTGGCAGACGGTGCGCCGGGGTCTCCTGGAGTTCCTCCGAGGACGCCGCGCTGTTTGTCGCCGCACCGTTGTGAGAGCCCCAGGGAAGTCTCCACACGGTTGCGGAGGTGTTGGGTTCCGTTCTCTTGAGGGCCAGGTCGGGCCTCGCGTGCATTGTTCAAGGCTCCAACGGCTCTGACTCTGGATCCGCCGTGCCTTCGTTGGTTTCCCTAGCGTGAAAAGTTGTTGGACACGCACCCTGCACGATGAGAAAAAGTAGGGCGGGCATTTCCGCGTAAGGTTGACATTTCCGCAAGAGTGTGGCGGAAACTGCGACGGCAAAAGGCAGGCCGCAAATCTACATGCAAGGAGTTTGAAGCAGGGCGGGGAGATTTGCCTTGTTCACGAAATCGTCCAAAACACGGCGGATCCGGAGTCAGGGGGCGGGAAATCTCTGGGCCCCGAACGACTGCTCTGGAGCAGAGTCCACGTCGATTTCAGACAGGGAGCCCCATACACCGCACTCGGGGGCTCCACCGTTCAGCCGATGGCTTCGATTTCAGGTGATGCTCGAGACAGCGTCTCCGCATCTTTCGCCTGGCCGCAGATTCTACAGGCTTTGGCCCAGACGAGTTTGTGCACCGGCGGAGGCTGTTGCTCCATCTCCTGGCGCGCAACAGCCCCTTCCCTGGACCCAACCTCCTCCTCGGGTAAAGAGGTAGCGATCGTACGCAAGTGTGTGGGGGGTGGGCTTGGAGCCCCACCCCCGCGTGCTGGCGTTCGTGCGCACACTGGTGGCGGTCGCAGCGCACCCCCGCCCCGGCGTGCCCGAAGTGTGGGGGGGGGGAGACAAACAACCAGAAAATATGGGAAAAAAGGGAATCCTTTTATTTGTGTGTATTTATTTGTGTGTCCCAGGGCCCCGTCATACACAAGCAACCTCATGGAATCAGGGACCAGGCCCTGTCGGGCCTGGGCAGCTTCCAGGCGTTGTCGGGCCACTCCGGTTGCCCTCGTGCCCGCTCGTCTTCCCTGAACTGTTTCTCTGCGACTCGGGCGCTCGCGGAGCGCCGCGAACTCCATTCAGTGCTCATGCCCCAACACAGTCCCGCCCCCCCTCGGTTCAGGGCGCGTCTATAGACCCAGCCAGTCTTTCCACCACCCTGTCTCTTCCCTCCATCTCGCCTTCCTCCTTCTCCTCCTCTGTCTCCTCCTCCGTTTTTCTTCGTTTGCCCGGGTCCACGGCTACTGCCCCTGTTGTTTGCGGTGCCAGGTGCGTTGATTATTTTTTGCTTTCCTACAATGCCCAGTCCCTTGTCCTTCGCGCGGTGCTGGGCTGCAGGAGCCCTTCTCAAGCCGTGCCGCAAACAAGCTGCATTCATAGTTAATGGCACGGAACAAGACAATGAGGAATCCACGTTTTGGCATTCTGCTATCTTCTTGTTGGAGAGGGAAGCGACGCCGTCAGCTATGGCTCCAGAGGATGAAAAGGCGGGTGAAACTAGGATAACGATGCGCGAGGACGAGGAGCAGTAAGATTCAGACGGGGAGGAGGATGGTCGGAGCGGGACGGAGGAGGGAGAACGGAGGAAGGCCGGAGGGAGGAGAAGCGAGGATGAGGTGATCAGGAGGAGCGACGGGGGAAAGGAGGTCGACGCCACGGGTCGGGTATTCGCAGCTGCCCGCCTGGCAGGTGCTGCCAGTGTGGAGGCAGAACGACACGGGCAACTTTCGCCTGGCAGTCGAGCCCGGAAGAGCGCTCGCCTCAGCAGTCTCGGGGGCCCGTGCGGTCATGCGGCGTCGTCGCGGGGAGGAGGATGGAGGAGGAGGGTGAGGAGGAAGAACAGGAGGGGAAGGCGCAGGAGGAAGAGGAGGAGGAGGAAGAGGAGGAGGAGGAGGAGGAGGAGGAGGGGGGAAGGAAAGGAGAAGGATCAGAGGGAGGGGCAGGAGGAGGAGGATGGCCAGCGGGAGTCCATAATTAACGTTTTTGGCTCGAGCGATCGGTTCGGCTTGCTCGGGGCGCGTGCCCGCGGCCCCCCCTGTAAGGCAGGCAGGAGCAGAGTCCTGCGGCATTTCCCCTTTCTCATCGTGCGTCGCGTTGTATGTTTTGTCTGTTCGCAGGCCCAGAGATTGACACCAACACCAATTTCGGCGGTGTGCCTCCACCGGGGGAAGAAGATCCCGATCTCAGTGATGGTGGTAATATTCTGGCTTCCAAGGTGGCCGAACTATTACCACCAACACCGAAAATCTAGGATCATCTTCCCCCTGTGGAGGCAACCCTCTGTCTTGGTGTTGGTGCCAATTTCCAGGCCTCCGATCTGTGGCTGGGTGCTGCACCAGCGCACACCGTTTGTTCCTGAGTCTTCGAAAGGTTCTTCGACTTTTTTTGGGGGGGGCAGAGATCCTTTCGTTTCTAACTGCCCTATCCTCGGCCTCTTCCTGGCCACTAGGGGGCCAGGAACAATTAGAAACGAGCACCTTAGAAATGAGCACGATTAGAATGAACGACGTGTACATCGGCGCGATGCCCCACACAGCAGAAGGCTCTGGTGAACCACTTCCTGAAAACCCGCGGACTGCAGGAGGTCGAGACGCAAGCATGGTCTCCACAGCAGCATGATGGCGATGGACGGTCAGGGCAAGGTGGAGCACCAAGCGGCCAACCAGGTCAAGCGAGACATGCTCATCTTCCCGAGCAAGATTCTGACTACCAGAGCCTCAAGGAGACTGTGGAGAGCATCCCAGCTTCGGTCATGGAGCAGATCCAAGCCATGCAACGCTCGCTTAACCAGATGTCCAACACGGTGTGGTCGCACTTGGAGGGCGTCGACAGGCAGGTGGAAGCAAGCGTGGCAATGGCAGAACGGCGGCTCAATCAGCATGATCGTCAACTGGAGAAGATGGAGAATGATATTGATGAGTTGCGTTCAACGTTGGGCATCATCCAGCCTGAAGGGCCAGAACTTTTTTCGAATGTAATGGGAGGATTCGATCGCTCCAGCGACCCCACCATCATCGCGACCAGGTGTAACTATGGTTTCACGGACCCACGGTAATCAGGCGATCCAGCGTGGATGCATGCTGCGAACATTGCAGCTGAGGACTACACGAACCAGGGTGATCATGTGGCGAAGTTGCACACTATGGCTTTCCGAGATAATGCTGGCTACGCGGCACGCAAGGTCAACCTGGCGACGGCGGCCATGCGACTTCATGGCGGAGCGGGCTGGCGCAGAATGGAGTGCGATCAGCTCATTGTTGCCAAGTCTTGGAGGAGGGGAGGAAGGGAAAATTGGGGAGTGCACGTACACTCATGTGCATACAGACATGTGTGTATACGTGCGCGTGCACATACATTTATTTACACGTATCCCTGCATACACATAAACTCCTTACTCCTATCAAATAACAAGGACCCCCCCCCGATGGGCATCACCTAATTCGGCACCCTCCGATGCGTTCCATACCCCAGGACAGCTCCGAATCTACGCACAACTTCGGCCAGGACGGGTCACGACGGGCCCCTGAAGATCTCGGAGAGGTTCGAGAGGGCCCTAAGAGTGCGCCAAGAGAGCTCAAGACCGCCCACAAGCGCTCCAATATGATGTATGATGGCATCGAAGCGGCCCTAGAGGGCCCCGAGACAACTGCAGAGGCCCTCCAAATGACTTCCACGGGGGCTTCACGAGGCCACAAGCATGGTCGTTTCCATCAGCCTTTGACGACTTCCACGGTCCTCACCTTGTCAAGCTTCCCACGATCTAAGAGGCCCCCCCAAAATCTTCAAAAGACAGCCCACAAGGCCGCCAAAAAGGGCCCCATGACGGCCTAAGAGGGCCCCAGGATGGCCCAGAAGGGCCCCAAGAGGAGCCGACAGGGCCGTACGCGGCTCCCAAGGGCTCGAAGAGGCCACCACGAGTACCCAAGGCGGCCCCGAGACGAGCCCAAGAAGACGTCAACAAGGCAGAAGCCGCCCAAGATGGGGACAAAAGGGCCTTGCTGCAGCCCAAGAGGGCCCAAAAACGGTCCAAGAGAGCCCCAAAAGGACCCCCAAGGCTTGGGAAGGCTGCGCTCGTTGATATCGCGCGGTGTTTGCGCGATGTTTCTCTTGCGGCGTAACGCGCTCTGACCACAAACGCCTCGGCGCACGGACAGTTTTGCGATCCTCTGGGCCCCGCGACGGCGAGCTCTGCCGCTTCAAGACTGAGCAACAGCACGACCGCCAACACGACGAACCACCAGCATGACACCCAGCACGACCACCAGCACAACCACCAGCACGACCATCAGCACGACCACCCGCCGGCATCATCACCAGCATGACCAGCAGCACGATTACCAGCATGAACCACCAGCACGACTTCCAGCACGCACACCAGCACGACCATGAGCACGACCAGCGCAACTACAAACCGTGACCCGTGATATGCACCATGCGCAAGCCAACCATAATGTACCCCTTGAAACCACAACATACCCACCCCCCCAAAACGGTCAAGCTCACGACGCGCACGGAAATTTATTCACCCTCAAGCCCACGAGCACACCACGTTCTGTCGTTCATATACCGCGATGGGATGCGACACCCGCGCTTCTGCGCAAAGGATGAGGATGAGGGAGAAGATGTTGCGGCGAAGCGAAGCGAGTCACTAGTATCTTGTATATGAGTATACTTATATGTACAAACATGTTAGCCACTGTGGACCCCGAACAGAGTGCTTCTAGAAGCATGTGTTGTGCAATCTAGGCAGAGCAACGTACGTGGTTAATTGCAGGTTGTGCAATATATATATAGTGTGTGCGCACTATACGTTGTGCAGTGTATGCCTGTGAGCTCTTGCAATCTACGCGATGCCACCTAGATGGTGCAATTCATGTGATGCATTCTACACGGTACAAGCAATGCAATCAACGGAAAGCGACGCAAAGCAACGCAATACAATGCAACGCCATGCAACGCAATTCAATTCAAAGCAATGCAAAGCAAGACATAGCAGTTCAAAGAAAGGCTAATCAAGGCAAAGCAACGCAATGCAAAACAATGCAACGCAACGCTAGGCTGTGCAAAGCACTGCAGAGCAATGCCATGCAAAGCAACGAAAAGCAGGGCAAATCAACGCAATGCAAAGCAATGCAATGCAACGCAAGGCAAAGCAAGGAAAATCGACGCAATGCAACAAAACAAAACAATGCAAGACAATGCAGAGCAATGCAAAGCAAGACAAAACAATGCAAAGCAACGCAAAGCAACGCAAAGCAACGCAAATCAACGCAAAGCAATCGATGTGGTGCAGTGTAGCGGCGGCGGCAAGCGGCGACGGCGGCGACAGGTAAGCGACGCCGACAACATCGCCACCAGACCGACAGACAGGCGCAGTTACGGGCGGCAACTAGGCGGCGACGGGTCGGCGAGAGTGATAGCATAGCCGCCGGACCGGCATTCAGAGCCAGTTCCTTGAATCACAAGTAAGAATGTCTAAATGAAAGCATTGTTTGGGGAACATGTATGTGTATGTCTATATATATATATATATACATACATACATACATGCCTGTATATACGTATACACATAAAACCCTGTTTCCGATCAAATGAGAAGGACCCCCCCCTGGGATGGGCGTCGCCTAATCCGACGCCCTCCGATGAGTTCCGCGCGACCTCGGGGCAGCTCTCAGACTACCCGAGAAGTAAGCCAGGACGGGTCACGACGGGCCCCAGAAGGCCTCCGCGAGGTCCGAGAGGGCTCCAATAGCGCGCCAAGAGAACCCACCGCCCAAAAGCGTTCCAGTGCGATGTATGATGGCATCGAAGCTGATCCAGAGGGCCCCAAGACAACCCTAGAGGCCCTCCAAGTGAATTTCAAGAGGCGTTCTACGAGGCCATATACACGTTGTTCCATTAGTTTTTGATTGTTTTCCCGGTTCTCACCCCTGCAGGCTTCGCACGGGCCAATACGATCTAAGAGGGCCAACAAAACCCCCCACGACAGTTGACAAGGTTGCTGAGAGGGCCCTAAGACGGGCCCACAGGCCCCACGTGGCTCCCAGCAAGCCCCTAGAGGGCCCGAAGAAACCCCCAGAGACGGGCCCAAGAAGGCGTCAACGCGGCAAAAGCCGCCTAAGACGAGGACAAGGGGGCACCAGAGCAGCCCAAGAGAGCCTAAAAACAGCCCAAGAGGGCCCCAAGAGGACCCTCAAAAAGGCCTGGAGAGGACACGCTCGTTAATTTCGCACGGTGTTTGATCGACGATGCTTCTCTCACATCGTGACATTCTGTTACCACGGAGAAATTCAGCACAGACGGTCTTGTGATCCCTCGGGCCCCGCGACGGCGAACTCTGCGGCTCCAAGCTTCTGTTGATATTCTGCAGGTTTGGGATAGCGGTTGGTCTTGCCCTGCGCTCTTGGGCATGCCTTTTATTGACGAGAGTTGGCACCCACGACTGCCCTGCGGCGCCGGCTTCCCCGGAGGGTGCCAGACGTCCCCCATCCTGGGCCCTGGAGCAAAAAAAAAAAAGCCGTCGACGTGAACCGTGGCTCTTCGCTTTTCACTCCTCACGAAACACGCAAACCCACGCCGATTTGGGCCCCGCGGCGCAAGCCGCCCGAAGCGCCCGCCGTCCCCGATCCGGGCCCCGGATCAAAGAAGCAGCCGTTGACGTGAACCAAAAGTCGATGCGCCCCCTTGGTGGCCTCGCGCTCCCAGCACGACCGCTGGCACGACCATCAGCACGATCGCCAGCACGACGAACC